ATGGCGAAAACAAACAAAACTCGTTTAAACATTGTGTGAACCCGAAACTGTGTGAATCATAATTGCATGATATTACTGATACATTTAATTAGAAAATTCTAAGAACTTTAGTTTTTGATTTTTACTGCATCAAGCTTAAAACAAAGGAGAAGAATAAACTCTGAATCAAATAATCCAAAGCAGTATCAGATCCAGGGAGTGCTAGTATAATTACTATGGAATGTCAGGGCTGACATGCAGGCATGCAAATTGTATAGAATAAAAAAGGGACACTTAAAAGAAGAAGAGTTTATCAAACTCCCACTGCATCCACAAATGCAATTCATCACCGAATCTATTTATCAAGATTGTTTCCTTACAAATGCATCAGACCCGTTTGTTCAACCTATTTACAACAATCTTGTGTGGCTATAGATCTAATACACTGTCTTGAATGCGGTATAGCTGCAAATTGAGGTGACCCTAAAAGAGGAAGATACAAAAACTGTGGCAACGACAGTGTTGGGGATGGATTACAATTTTGTTTGGACAGTGTCTACTCTGTCAAAACAGAACAATTGATTGCACTCATTTCATCACCTACAGGAAAGCAGCTTTCAACTTCACCAGTTTTTTTTACCACCTCCCTGAATATATGATGGACCAGGTTTGCACAGCGATATATATTTACAACACTGATCTTTTTTTTTAAAACAGAAGAGTTCTTCAGTTATTCTCTTCTTGTTATCTTCTTCACTCAGTGCCTGTTCTCTTTTGAGAAAGCCTTGGTTTCATTACCAGGAAGAATTAAAATGACATGAAAAGTTTGTCCTTTTGTAAAGGTAAGTTTCGGGCATTGCCTCCTGTACTGGCCTAAATCATGCCTTTTATTGTGATCCACTTATTTTCAAGAGGAAACAAATGTTTTCAAAATAAAATTCTATTCTTAAAAATATATATATGTATGAGTCCCAGGTCACATATCCTAAGGCTTACATAGCCAAATTTCAAACTCATCAATGATCCCCCCCCCCCACAAAAAAAACATAAATCAGTAAATAACAGTTTAAAAATAACAAAAAACACTTAACCTGAAAACATGTAATAACAAAAGTAACAAAATTCTGTTAAGCAAAAGAACTTACAAACCCACTCTTTCTTAAAGGGAATATACATCATTTGCTTTTGCTGTAATTTTCAGAAATGGATGGAATTGGGGGGTTGGAAATATATAGCAAATATAGTTACACTGACTTTTTTGAGGTTTTGGGTTCGAAAATGCTATAAAAACCAAGAAAAACAATCATTTTCCTGTAGTCTGATTCCCTGACTCCATTTAAGAAGAAACAGAGCAGTTTACATACATTGGGGAATTGTAAGGTCAGGGAACCAGTCTAGCTGGCTTGTACCCGTCCATAGGTGTGTAATCGATTACAAACAAGTGCGATGGTCAACTGGGGCCAGTATATGGAAAAAAAGCCAGTTTTTTCCAACGCTGATCGGCCGATCAGCGTTGGAAATTGATACAAAAATACCACTTTTCTTGAAAATGACAGTATACCAGGTGCCATGATTTTACAGGATGCTTTACACTGTCATTCACTAACAGACCAGCAAGGTATTTCAAAATGATTTGGTAGTTTTATTTTTTGATGTTTGCAAATGTTGTATTTTCCCTTTAAGCTCACATTCAAAAACAAGTCACACCCAGCCTAATACTGAGATGTCGTCCATTAAGATCTCTTTTGCAAATTTTCATATTTTGTTTATACTAAAAGCAGATGTGCCACTTATCAACTTGAACTTTGACCCCAAGACAGACACAGATCATAAAAATCTCTGCGGAATACAACGCAAAATCGATCACTGCAGACCGTGGTAAACATCCTGGCAAGTGGTTTCACTCCCAAATTCTAATGGTTTATGGGTACATGTATTTTTAGGCTCCCCCCCCCCCCCCAAAGGGCTTGTAAGGTTCAAGGCAAGATCTTGTCAGAGGGTGAGGGGTACAGAGGAGGGGCATATCCAGGGGGACATGAGGGCGTGCGAAGACATTTTAGAAAAAAAAAGAAATGGAGAGAATGTTAAATCAGGGTACGGAGATGGGTATAAATCACAACCAGAAAGTAATACCACAAAACAAAAAACACCAGCAGAGCACATTATTTGTGCTCTGAGTCTGGTTAAAGTATAAGACCTTTAGATCCAATTTTAGTCAATAATGCTTACAATTTTAGATGTTCTGCCCAAATTATACTCATATTCACATATATTGCATATGCATGAAGAAATATATTAAATGAATTCTTTGAATAAAACATATCAAAAGTTTCAAAGAATCCTCCAAATTATAAAATAAATTATTATAAAAACAGTTAAAGCTAAATATGGCCAAAATTATATTGCAAATCACTGATAATACTAAAAAGGATGTGTGCTAACTTACACACAAAAAATATGGTATAGACTACCGAAATAACAAAAAGAAAACAGCCAAAAAAAACCTGTTAAAAATGATCAATGAAAAAAGAGTGTACATCCTGATTAAAAATCTGTTAAAAAATAACATCTCAAAAAATTACTACATGAAAGGGAGCTATTTTTGACATTTGCAAAATGGAGGGCTAATGCATTATAAAATGGCACGACATTTAAAGGATGGTTTATGTGGGCAGACGTACTCAGAGCAAGAACCCACTAAAAGTCCCAATGGCATTGGTGTTTACAGCAGTTCTAGGGAGGGGGAGGGAGGGGGATGACGTTGAAAATTGGATAAATGGCAACCTTTCTCATCGAAATAGGGACTTTTCTCAACAAAAAACTGCATGTTTTTCACTTGTGGGAAAAAAGTACCTATTTTGTGTGATGTGCCATCTGGGATTTCTAGTTGGAGACTGTACACATAAACATAAGAGAGCTTTGATTCAAATATTGTTTTTTTAGTCAACTTAAAATGTTTGCTCAACTTTTTGTAATCCTGGTTTTTTTTAATGAAGTAGGTGAACATAAAATTAATGTTAAGGAAAAGATAGCATTTGCTGTGATACCCAAGTTTTATGTTTAATTTTACAATGCTGAATAAACTTGAAAAAGTCAATCCTGGTTTGTATCTTGAGACTGTAAGCATAAACATTATGAGAACTTTGATTCAAAACAAACGCTTTTTTAAATATTTTTTTTGACAACTTTACAATAGGTTTGCACAACCTTTTGTACTTCTTGATTTCAAAATGGAGTAGGTAAACATAAAATTGACATTTAAGGAATAAATGAAATTTGCTGTGATACCCAAGCTTTATGTTTCTTTTTACAATGCTGAATAATCTTGAAAAGTCATTTTTTTTCTCTAACAAGAACTTGCTTATTTCATGAGAGATGAAAATTGAGTCCAATGGAAGGGCCTTGATGTTCAGAGTGAAATTTAATTTCAATCGAATAGATTGGTTTCCACCTAAACAATCTCTCTGTTTTTTAAACTCTGTCCACTTTGTCTAAATTGTCTTGTCAGAACTTCCATTGTGTGACACGGTGAAATCTGTTGGATGTGAGAGATTTAGCTATCTGCAAAACTGTGAGTTACACGTGAATGCAATGCATAATAAAATGGCATGACATTTGAAGTCGGGATGAACCGATACACCTGAAAGAAATCCTGGATGGACCGACACTCATTGACTTTCTAATGTACCCCCGCAACCTTTTCCAATATCCCTCTCTTGTCAAGCACCCACTTGGTTCCCGCTTTTTTTTTTTCTATTTTTTTTTCCTTTTATGTGATTACTTTTGTATCAATTGTGACATTACTGACAGTTTCAGTTGCTGTTGATGTTACTGCTGCAGGGAAAAACTTTGAAAACCTTCAACGAAAATTCTTTCCGAATGCAAATTAAAAGACGCAGAAATCCTCCAAGATATGTCTCATTAATTTGGCTTCCGCAGTGGCCACACGGGTACGAACTGTTTACAAAATCGCCAGTAATCAGAAACCTCAAAAGAATATGTCCTTGTTAGAATTAATTGCGGATGTACCATATACTGCTCATATTTGTTGATCTCACCCCACACAGAGTCTCTAGATACCATGGCAAAAAGTACAGTTTTGACAGCTTGGATTCTGAACAACAAAGAACTGGAACAATCATACCTGGGGGAAAATAGATGCATCTTTGAATGCGCTGAAACTAAAAAAAAAAAAGAAAAAAAAGAACAGCTTTCCTTCTTAAGATTTGCTTCTTAAGACGTGGCTGGGGGCTAGGTGCGCCCAGGTACTCAAAAAAAGGTGTATTCTTTAGGGGGGATTGTGAGTACTTACTGCAAGATGCCCCAGATTGATGGTGTATTATAGAAGGGTTTGTTCACCCCCTTATACATTTTTGGTCAGCTTTCAAATTTCTAGACAGCTTTCAAGATGACCACTCAAGCAGCGTTGACATTTTTCAATGCCTGGATTTTTTTAAGGGGTTTTCAGTTTCACAAAACGTGGCTGGATTTTATGTCACTTGATACTTTTCTTCACTTGCCCACTCATTTGGATAAATTCAATTTACTTTCAAGTCCTTTAAGAGTCACTTTTTTTTTTACAGAAGCAGGATGTTTTTCAGACGAATGAGACGATGCTGTCTGAAACTTTTTGAGAGCTTCAGAATAGCCAAAGGAAAAGAACAGCATCAGAAATATTTACAATTTATCTTTATGTCCATTGTCAAGCAGTGTTCAAACTTTTTCTAAAAATGCCTTGACAGAAAAAAAGTGACTGTTTGAAAAGAGGGTAGCTGAATATTTTCCGCAAACATTTGTTTAAGGGGTTACTTCATATCAAAGATACTTTCCCATAATTATAAGGAAGGAGAAACACACACTGTTTCAAATTGGCTTACGAGTCGGAAGGTGTTAGCTACAATTTTGATCTGATGGAGTTGGGCCCTCCTGGTTTTCATTTTTTTTTCATGTGTTTTATTACATTTTAGTAATCTGAAAGAAATTACTAACTGAGTCTATGTTTGCATTAAAGGGAGGCTTACCTTGTACTTTTTGGGTTTTGTCCCAATGCTCCATGCTTTACTCCGTTCAGTGTCAGGAGAGCTAAGCGGCGAAGACCGTGGGCTTTTCCCCTCCGTAGGGGAGTTCTCTCCGGACCGCGTTACCTGTATTCTGGGCACGTGGCCAGACCAGGCAGAGGCTGGAGACGAGGCAGCTCTGGGTCTCATGTCTGGGGAGAGGTCACCTGTGCCGTCCATGGATACTCCAAGATGGTGATGGCTACTCCGCGGGGTGACCATCGCAAGCATGCGACGGAAGAGAGGCCGCGGGGAGGGCGAGCTTGGGGAGCTCGGACTCTCGTCAGCAGCGGAGTCTCTGCTCTCCGCCATCTTCAGAGTAGCTTGCCGCCTCTTCCTCCTGGATGAAGGGGAAAACAGACAGATACATTTCTGCTTGATGTAACTCATTCTAGATATCCGAATCAAAAAGTCAATACCAAACAAATGTCATAACTCAGACTGGACTTGGTAATGTTATGCCAGCAAGGTGGATATGCTTGGACAAAGAAAGCCTGTATGAAGCGTGTTGTTAGTATCGACTTGGCTGACTGAAATGATTACATTCGCAGGGCGACTGGGTCCTATTTTTTTTTTTTGCAAGGTGAGGTAAGAGAAGCAGCCATGTGGAAACCTCGTCAGCCGTCTTCATGAGGGAATCATCATCTCTTCATGCTCCGTCGGCGCCTCTGGGTTTGACCCACAACAACACCATCCCTCTACGCACAACTGTTAACCCCTGCTGTTTTCAAATTTCACAATTGATTTTTTTTGGCTTCCTGTGCGCCTCCATAACTCAGACACAGACTGATTGAAATTACAGGTTGCAAATTTTCATAATATATAAAACATTTCTTTGCATAATGCATGGTACTATTCTGTGCAATTAAAAATATTATGTATTATGACTGTACTCTTCTCAGAACAATTGCTTACTGTTTAAGCACCTGATTTGTGACCATTTTCCCATAACTTAGTTATTGCAAAACCATACTTATGGTGGAGTGCCTTGCCAAGAAAAGAGACCTTTGTGGCAATGTTGGGAAAATCATCTAGCAACATAAAGTGATGGGTAAAACAGACATTTTGTTTCGAAGCTGCAAATGATATGTCTTCAAAGGTAACTTGATCTAGGCCAAGAACGTGATGCTCTCGAGTGAAGAGAGCTTAACATGCATGTAAGCACACCGCTGGAAATTCGGGCAAAGCTGTTTAGGTTTTCAAGATTTATCTAAGAGGTTTCTGAGACACAATGCAGCAGTGAACTCCTTGCATTTGCTAAGTGCGACCTTTTCTCTTTGTCCTAAAATCTACCCTTCAATAAGAATAATTATATAAGTTTATAAATATTAGAAGTATTAAGATGAGTCCCTCCGGTTCTTTTCAGAACCACACATACTCACAAAAGAGATTTATTCACATGGTGCTACCACAAACTTATCTTGCCTTAAGAAGTATTAAGTTAATGGGTTCTTAATTAACTAATGTCAATAGTATTGTATGTATTTTATGTAATCAACAAAGAATGAAATTTTGTTTCTAAAACATAAATATTTGAGATCCAAATTTAGCAAACGTTTTATCCAAGAAACAAAAAGGGTACCTTTGTACTCAAACAACAATTATTTTAAAAACTGCAATTTGTTCGTAATGACAACAACCTATACATGCACCGATGTTCAAAATATTTGTACCGCAAACGCAACAACTATTTTTGAAAATGTGACGTACTCTCACAGTTCGTCCTTTGCAAACGGAATAAATTACATATGTACTTTAGGATCCCGCGGGTAATTACGTATTCACCGCTTGTTACGTGGATTGTTATTCAAGTTGAAGGCCTGTAAGACATCAGCACACAGCAACAAGAATCAAGACCCGTGTAAATTCACCTCAAGTGTGACAGTGAAACATCCGTTCTACTTCTAAAAATATCTTCCTTTTTTTTTATCACAATCGAATAGAACTCAGGCAAATTTTTTACCCTTTTTGAAGTAGTAAACATGACCAAAATCAAATTGGAAGCCTGTCAGTTTTTATGAAAGTGGCTCTTTTTTTTCTTGACACTTTGAAAATAACTTGTTATACTATACAGTGCTGTCTTGCTTTTACTATTAGTGGAATTAAACAATTTTGTATGAGATACAGAAATGTTTACCAACAGTTTGTTGGACAATTTCTAAATTTGGTCTAAAAGTTCCCGAAATTTCTCAACTTTTAAGCGATGACTATAGAAATTACCAAAATTTCAAAGATATCTTGGAATACTGTACTGATTAAAAATTATGAAGTTTTACAAAGTAAATTACATCCTCTAAGATGGGCAATACTCGTTTTAACTTATTGTGAAAATCTGCTGCTTTGTTGCTCAAAAACTTAAGCTGGAAAAATCCAATGATGCTCTTAACGTGAAAATTATGTTTCATCATCTTTCTAATTATGTTTCATCTTTCTCACTGCCTCCCACATGATAAACAAAAGATGATTTTGATATTTTATTCACTGTATTTGTAAACAACACTGTATCTTGATGCTCCTAACACGTTTTGGTCATGTGCAGACTCTTAAACCAGACTGATCATTTCTCTATCGACTATGCACTAAGACAAACAAGTCAACCGATCCTCCAGCAAAACATCACCACCCAACTTCACACTGCAACTCCTGTATCAAAACACCTCCTAAGAGCAAAACCCCGTACAGGATATAAATTGTACAGGATATAAATTACACAAATATGCGGTAACTCTAACATTATGGTCGGATCAGATGACCAAACACTAGCCCCTGGGAAAGTGTACTTTAGGCAAACTGGAGTGATTTAAAATAAAAAAGCTGAGGTTTTGCATTTCTTGAGCAGCCCTACGAATTTCCCACTCCTTCCTCCCTGGAGGACTCGCATCAAAAATTGCCTCTCCCACAAAATCTGATTGTGAACTTTGATAAGACAAACCAAACAAGAAGAAAAAAATAAATTGAAAACAAACTCAAACAAATTTGGAAAACCTACGCTGCAAGCAATCAGTTATGAATCAATATTTGATTAGGTAATCTAAAAGTTGTTTTTGTCTGTCGAGGCTCAAATTTTTTGTTTACACATAATTGTTGAAAATCATGTTGTTTTTATGTATTTTTCTCTGCCCACTGGGACTGTTTTGAAGGGACAGTAGGCGATGGTTAGTTCTTTTAGAGATAAATAGGCTCCCTTTTGTTTTGATTATATTTGGTTATAGAAGCAAATTCCGATATCTTTTTTCCCACCTCTCCTGGGAGTTAAAAGTCATATAGTATTCTCCAAACTATTAAATTTGACCAAATTGGCATGCGTATCAAAATCCTCTAAGCTTATGAATACATAGCTGTTTACATGCATTTAAATCATTCAAACCACTTTTCCTCACGTTTGTTTTGAATAGACTATTTCCTTTAATACTCAAAATAACAGTTCACCATGCAGTGACGCATCGTGTGCACAAAGTCCATAGATGATCTGTCACTTCGTGGTGCACCCAATGAGTTAATTACAGTTCAAAAAAAATAGACAAACTGTAGAAAGAGAACATTTCATTTTTTTTAAATGCCAACTGAGTAAGGGACAAGGACAAGGCTCTTGACCTCTTTTAACATCACCAAAACATTAAGGGTGGGGCATTTCCTAGAATTCATAAAAAAATCATTTCAGAGACTCTGAAAATTACCAGCCGCCAGGATTGCAAAATCTATAATATAATATTCCATTAATTAATTAATACATTGTTGTACACAACCACAAGAAAAAGATGATTTTGTTGTTTAATTCACTGTAAACAGCACTGCATCTTGAAATGCTCTTTCAAGGAAATCTATATGCCTGTCTCTCTGGTAACTTCTGGGTTTTTTCTCCATATGCCTATTGGTTGTAAATGAAATCGTCAGGAAATTAAAAACTGATAATTTGATGAGCATGTGTGGTGTGTGCATGTTTGGGTTTTTTTGGAGTGCTGTGGCCTCGTATGGTCTGGAGCATGGAACTCAAGATATTGTGGGTAATTCTGCAAATGGTGGGTTTGAGTCCCGCCTGTGGGAAAGCAGTGCTTGTGTCTTTTGGCAAGACACTTTATCCCTACTTGCTTCTGTCCTGCCCAGGATGGGTTCCCGTGATGAGGGTAGAGGTGGCGGTTCTTTTTGAAGTGGTCTCTGAAAGTGCAGCATCTAGTTGTGTGCTTCACGATAAGGAGCTTGGATTATAAATATTGGACAGTTTACGGGCCTGGTGAACAGTGGTTATAATTATCATTACACATAAGTGCTATGACATAAGTTAATCTGTACTATCATAAATTATACCATTTTGGACACAATTTAGCATTAGAATTTAACTATAACTTTGGGAGACATGTGGATTTAGGGAGGCATTTCAATGTCTCCCTAATGCCTCAGCCCCTATTTAAAAGTAAAAGTTTACTGTCACAAACAGGCTAGATCAATTGCTCGCGGTCCAGTTAAAGGAAAGTCAGAAAAGAATGTTGTGCTTAAGTCTATGGGTATGTCTCCCTGATGGTATATTTTTTGGTTATATTTTTCGGTTATGTTACAAATTATTATTATGAATTGCAATAGGCATATCCGAAAGGGAAAAATGGATTATGGCATTGATAGGTGGTGATGTCCATGTGGCATTAACAAAGAGTGATTTTTAAAATAATCATGTCTTCTTCTGTTTAATAAAGACATGCATTTTGAACATGAGCCTCTCGCACTGCGTTGACCCCCGGTTACTGGTCAAAGCAAAATTTCTCCAGCGAGAGCTCAAGAAATGAGCCGTCTCCGAGAAATGAGCCATCTCCAAGAAATGAGCCGTCACCGGTGTCCTTGAACAGGGCAGCGGGTACCAGTGAACCTGATACAATTGCCCATGGTTGGTCAATACTTACGATGAAGCCAAGGGGCAGGACTTAGTGCATCACTGGCTGATCTTGTTATGAAAAGAAAACATGTCTCCTGGCGGACAGGAAAAAGGTTTCTTCCTTACTTGACAGGTCTTGTCAGGCAGGTGTTTCTAATCTGTTTTGCAAATAACTGGGATGCGATTATATTTCAGAAAAAAAGTTTTAACCAGCTGATGTTAAGATTGTCTTTGCCAACTGTCTTTTTTAAATCATTGTTTGGGGCAAAAATATTATACTGTTAAATTGGTGGCTCGTTTACACTAAAATTCCTAACAATTGCTAACAACTGTCCTATCTTTGGCAACAAGACAAACACTGCTCAAAAAGTTGCTTAAAGTTGGTCTACTGTCTAACAAAGGTAGGTAAGAGATAAAGATGTATTATCTTGACGATCCAGCACAACAAAAAGATCCTCCCCCCCCCCCAAAAAAAAAAGGGAAACAAAGCCCAGCCATGAATTTAATTTCTTTATGTTTTAAATGAAAAGTATGAATAGTATGAGCATAAAAAAATGCATACTCAAACAAGTTTCTAAAAGTAAAACCCCACCTTCTGTTTGCCTCCCCCCCCCCCCCCCCTCCTCAACCAACCAACAAATAAATACTTGTTCTGTAGTTGTTGGGACTACACACGAGTTGTCCCATGGTACTATGGGGACCGAAGACACTGTGGGGACAGCAGAAAGTCCCCATAACTCAGTCCTAATTTGCCTAACAATAAAAAACCTCCCCATGACGCGGTGACAGCCCGCCCACACAAAAATACCTTGGGAGAAACACGACTGCCTTTTTAACATTAGCATGTCATCCATCTACTGAGGAAAAAAAATCTTATTTTCTTAAGGCATCAACTTGGTTTCAAATTTCAGAAACACTATGCTACAGTGGAGAACACTTGAAATGTTTATCTGCACTAAGTCGTAAAACACACATCCGAATCCAATGATGTTGCACCGTGTATCTCATATCTTGCAAACACAAAGAACTTTGCTAAAAAAAAGTCACTAACATCAACAAAGTTTGTATGACTTCACTGTGAAAGTGAAAATCTCAGAGATTCAAATGGACTGTTTGGCATTGCCAGATTGTATATCCTTTTAATATTATCATACCCTTTCCTTAATCAAAGGGACTAAAAAAACAGGGTGAGTTTAACCATGGTCCACCACTCCCGTTACAACCACTGCTTTCAGGAAAATATTCTATTTTTTATTAATAAACAAAACTGTCTTTTAAAACATCTCACTGGCAAAACTAAGCAAACTGAGGTACAAACAATTTAAAAACACAATTCAAATTCATATCTTTTTCCTTGGCTGCTGACTATAATGAGGCTTGCAGATAGAAAACAAGTGATGAAAATTTGAATATCTTTTCTGCTGCTTTATCCGTTTGTTTGTTTGTTTGTTAGTTCCTTTCTGTCTGTTGTTTTCCTTTCTGTCTGTTTGTGTTTTTTGTTTTTGTTTTTGTTTTCTTCATCTAAAGATTGACATATGCAAACCTTACTCTCGCTCATTCACCATGTAAGCTATTTTTTTTAAATCAGACTACAGGTGCTTCTTTGATACTTTAATTTCTCAACCTGCTGAAAAATATCAATAAAAAAATTGAAATTTAATCTTGAACAAGGCCAATGCTTTGTGCCCGTGAGTGCAGAAAAGCCGCAATCACAAAAAGCACAGACGAGGTTCTACCATATATGCATACAAATATTTAATTTGCAGGTGGCGAGGTGGACAGTGATTGCAAAATGAATGAATGTGCATAGGACTAGCCGGCCACGCAGAGACACAACCTCCGGCAAAATAATCATCAATTTCTCCCCGATGCCCCAAGTGTTGCCAAATAAACCTCGTAAATCGGAACAGCTTTTCCCTTTTTTTTCATTTAGCTTAATGGGTATTTCGCGAGACAGCATGTCTGCAAATCCCGTTTGTAGATGGATAGATAGATACATTTTTATTTTTAATTTTTAAATAATAATAATAATAATGACGCTTATATAGCGCTTTACACGAAATATCTCAAAGCGCTTCACAAATCATAAAAGATCTATAAAAGACAGAGGTATTTGACATTTAAGACATGTGTTTTGCCAAAATCAAAATATTTTGAAATTCATAATTGATGTTCACTCAAAGTAAGATACATGATGCACACTTTTACTTTGTATTTAGGTATTTATTTGTTGGGGTCGGTGATTTTCCAATTATTTTTTAAGACAAATAACAATTGGAAATCAGATATTATAACTGACCATAGCAGCTTGATTTTACCAGCAACAAACTAATGACTTCATCAGGTAAGTATTTATTTGTTTATATCATCAAGAGGAGAAGTCATTAAAACAGACCTCTGTTTTTCTACATCAATGCCCAACCATAAGTATCCCCCTTAACAAATTCAGCAAAACATGAGAAATGTAAAAAATTAAGTTTCAATTCCCTTCAGTGATCTAACAAAGATTAGAGCACTGTATCAGTGCTACAGACTGGAAGGACTTGTAAATAATTTCCACCTTTTTTATCAATTACAGAAAGTTTGTTACAACCAATGGTTCAGATTCCATACTGCACAGATGATAGGCATTTACTTTATTATTCTTACAAGTTCCTTCTTTAATATCTGATGGTATAAAAACAATCATGAAGTTCCTTGTTTTTATACAAGTTCCTTGTTTTTATATCTGATGGTATATAAACAATCAAGAAGGCTCATTCCAAATACTGCAATTGAAAGAAAGATTAAGTTTTTGGCTGAAATCCTAACTATTAAAGTGAGCCTGTGAATTTGTGTTTGTAAAAAGAAATTGGCAAATGTTGAAACCAATATTAGAACAGAAAGCAGTATAAATGAGCACACTGCTTAATACAGGTCCAACCGGGGTCAACCCGATGTTTCCCAATACCTATGTTCCTCAATACCGATGTTCCCCAAAATCCTTAGGATAAGGGTTAGGGTTTAGGGTATGGATTTCGGGGAGCATCTGTATTGAGGAACATAGGTATTGGGGAACATAGGTATATGCACCCATCCAACCTCTAGAAAAAAAACAAGTGACCAATGATAGAATGACACACGATGATACAATACATGGTAAATGTCCCAAGTCAAATGGTTTTCATCAGCTTACCTTTGTAGTCTGTATCAACTGTAAACAGCTTGACTCAGAACTGGGCAAAATACAGAAGAGTGCATTAACTTATGCACTGATTCATTGCATCTCTTGCTACATACATCATTGCTGGTTCAATCACTGCTTATCACTAAACGCTGTGCATGATCCCCGGGATGAAATGCTTTTTGAAGCCAACAAAACTGCCGAACATCAAAACAAACTCATTCAGTTACATCCGAAGCTTGGGTGGCTTTCTGCAAGAACCATTAGACCATTCCTCCCGAGTCCTTTGGTGCGGTAGAGCATTTTGACAGTCACTTACACCAGGTAACCTGTTATGACCCTTAGTGCTTTAGGCCACTGATGATGTGTACTGTATGTACTCTGTTCATATAGTGCACCATCTCGCGAGTCTGGCATATTCAGCAGATGTACTGATGATATCCAATCTTGAGAGCTTAAATTTGGATAAAGTCTCGGTGCGTTCTGATGTACACAGGGGAAAACTGGGATACATCCATGCCTGGCCGTGCCATTTCTCCGAATGTGCAGAATACCACTGGGTCAACAACCCACACTGAAGGCTGCTAATGCAAGGAGGAGAAAAGATGCGGTGAAACACTCGGTGATGCGGGAGCTATGGTAACACCATCATTATCATCAGCAGCATCAGCTGTGAGCTTGTACACGTATATTCGTGTGGGGCCAAAACGTGACTACTCAATCCAAACGGTCCGGCGCTAACAAGATTTTACACTTTTTCCTAATCAGCTCAGCTGTGCTCATTACTTCTACGAAGGATTTCAATCTCTGTTTCCCAAGTCGGGAAGGGTATTTTCAAGCGACGGTGATTGCTCGAATGGCATTTCAGCTATGAAGGCCTCTCTGTTTTACCAACTTGTGCAGGAAACAAGACGACGTGTACTCAAGGACGATGAGGATTTGATTTGAAGTCACCACTGGCAAAAAACTCGGCAAGGCTTTACAATATTAGCCAGCTCAAGCAATCAGGAACGAAGATAATGTTACCGTTTCCTCATGTTTCCCAAGCCACTCTAAACACTGTGTGCACACACACAGCCTGTGCGAATACTACACAAGAAATCAATGCAATAAAACGTTGATACTTCAAACAATGGCTTGCATAATCACCCACAGGCTTAATGGTATGTTCCTAACCTTACCTCTGTTTTATGGCTTGCTGCAAACAGAATTACATAATGTAATTTCGTTTGGTTGACCAAAAAAAATGTACAAAACTTTTCATTTACATTGTAGTAAAACTAGAATGCTGAGCTTACAATTTAACAAATTTTAACTTGATATGCAATGTTACAATATGCATTAGAAATTGAAATGTCTTGTTCCAACATGATCACATTGTAGGCCTACATTATTTTTCAGTTTTATTGCAAATTTGATTGACTTTCTTCCCCTTTCTCAGAGTCTTTGAATAAAAAAACACCTGTATTAATGCATAAATTCAGGACAAAGATGTACATATCGGCAGGTTCCATTGACAACTTGGGGGAAGTGGATCAAATCCAAAAACTGTAACCATGGCAACAAGGAAGTGGAGGAAATGAAAGCTTATCTTTGGATCGAAAAAGTGCCAGCTTGGTCTTCCAGGACAAATGAACTGTAGAAAGATTGACCTGAGCAAGGTCAATTGAAATATTTCTTGCATAATAATACCCCCAAATTACCATCCTGTATTAGTGCTTTTTCATCTGTTAGTTGATTATTTCTCTGATTTTTGTAAAGAGTCTTGCCATTTCATGTGTTCTTCCCTCAATGTGCAGTGCTGCCTTTAGCTAAAATTAATAACGAAAAGCATTAATTTCAATCATTGAGGTTTTGAACATCTTTTATTATTATGATAAATAATTATACTTCCTTATTTTTCTTAGGCACCGTGAACAACAGGGAAATGTTGTATCACAAACAACTGTGATAAATCTACCGTTGTAATCTTATAAGCCTCTGTACTAATGACGTCACACTTTGTTTACGTGTGTGCTTTTTTATGGGGCTACGAAACCGCGGTCCCCACCGGGCTCCCATAAGGAAGCACATGTGTCATCACTACAGGCTTATTTAATACACGTGTAATTTCATTCATCGTTCCTTGTGTTATTTTAGCAGTAATGCAAGGCCCTCTCTGAAAAATCTGCATGGAGGAAAAAATCAATCTTTTCACATAAAACTACTGATGGCCACACATTTCCTACTGTAGATTTTGCAGAACACAATAATGGAAATAATTCCAATAACTGACGATTAGGTTGGCAATTCTAATTTGGCAAAGCATAAAAAATTGTTTTGAGGTAATTCTCCATGGTAGTATGCTACTAAAATACTTGTGAAAAAAATTATTGCGTACAATTTAATTACCGGTTCTCTTACAATGCACTGAAAACATTATTATCAGTTAATAATTCTATTTTATTTTTATTTATTTCATTTTGTATTTGTTTATATATTTATCTATTTATTTTGTTTTACCAACAGATGAGTATTATTAAAATAAGTTTTATTAAAGCTTGCCAGAAAAAGAAATAATGCTGTCTAAAATAAGATGTACTATCAAAGGTACTTAAATATTCTGTTTTATTCTTGACACACTTTGTTTCTTGGCCCATCTGTATCTTTAAGATGGAGACAGAAATAATGTTGTTGTCAGGTGACACATTGAAGGTATCACACGTCCATGTGAGTGGGCAGTTGAACGGAGTGCCTACGTGCTGTCCTGCAGGTAGACGTGCCTTCAGTCAGTGCCTCATTAGGTTGTTCCTCATTGAACTTGTTTCAAATTATTACTCAAAATAAGCAACACAAAAAGGTCTGTACTTTGATTGAGCACAATTTTTTTCTGGTATAATGGTCTGTCATTCAAATCTTTTTGTAATGACCATTAGACTTTTGGTTTGTCATGAAGAGCCATCTTACTGTCCGCTGACTGACTGACAGACTGACTCCCCGACTGACCAATTGACTGAGTCACATGAGCATATGCAAGCCAAGTTTGTTCTGGTGCTGACATAATCTGTCACTTCAGTGTCTTCTTCTGCTTTGACTGTTTCCCATTTTTTTCTGGGGAAAAACTCCACATCCAAAAAAATCAAATAATTTCTGTCCCCAAGACTTGGTGATTATAGATTCTCCATCTCTTCACCGCATCTCTGGAAATCCTTGCTAGACAAGTAGAGACACCTCAGGACTTATCACTTTTCAAACGACGTCTTCAGTTTCATCTTTTTAATCTATCTTTCAATCACATACAGTCTCTGTTCATAACAATGACCGGCGCCGTTGAATGGTTTAGTGTAATTAGATTCTCTGTATGTCCTGGTAAGTGCTTTGTGTTATTACTGCTGTCAAATTAATCTTGCCAACATGTACAATTTTACACCTTTGGAGAAGCATGTGCAAATATGAACTCAAGGTCATTCTGCAATATGAGAAAAGAAACTGCTGAGAAAAAAAGTTAACAATCAAAGGCAAATCCTATATTATATAAAATGTCTCACAAAACAAAAGACTTATCTAACAACCACAATAACAGTGATGCAGTGCTTAAATATGAGGTACTTTTCCGAGTTTTAGGTACCCATCACAGGTACCCATATTACACCAGATGACCAAATACGGTTTCAAAATTCAGGGGCGGATCCAGGAAATTTTGAAGGGGGAGGTCAAGCCTATCAGGGTGTTTTTATGTCTGACTGTCGCGGACAGGCGGACATATAGGTAATGCAGCACATTGTTACTGATGCACTTGTTTTAAAAATTGTTTGCTTTTTTGGGTGTCAGAGCAGGGAGGGAGGGGGTGTTTCTAACCCCCCCCCCCCCCTTTTGGATCCACGCCTGCAAAGCAGACCAAGAGGCCATGGCACTCGAACAGATATGCCAAATGTTCGGAATATTTCAGTCCCACATTTGCAAAATCCCATTATCATACAGGCTCAAGATTCCAAGCTTTGATTCAAATTATTTAAAAAAAAAGAACACTGATACCCTTTAGTTCTCTACTAATGAATTCAATAACCTTAAACATTTCAAAAAGCAAGACCATAATTATGAAACCATGTCTACCAATTGTGCATCATATGCCTTCCTTTCCCCCACAAACATTTGCATGTGTGGGCGTAGGATTCGAAAAAATTCTATAATTGGAGCGGCGGAAGGGAAAAAAATTGATCGACTGGGGTCATGATCGAAGCATCACGTTGCACATTATTAACTGCAGGTTGGATGGATGAGCTTGTGTAACATGTACATGTACATGTAGTGCAAGGCACAAGTACAGAATTTTGTAAGGAATATAATGAGATGACTATAACATTTTCTTTTTCAAAAGAGCAAAAAAGCACTTATAAAGCGCACTAGAATCTGAAAATAAATATTACTCAAAGAGCCGCACTGCTCAACGTTGAAGATCAGTAGAATTGTCTTGCTGTGTTGCGAGTCCTCTCCAAATTTGTTGGATTTGAGGAGTGTTTCTCCTGTATCTGTAGTGTCTTAGATGATTGATCCGGTCGGCTGCATATGGCTGCACAGTGCCAATAAAGCACATCTTTCCCTGCGCTGCAGCCCCGGGGAAAGACTGAATGACATTTGACAAATATCATCTGATCGTGACTCCCATCGCTTGATGCATTAGCACCCGCGCTACATACACACATAAAGCAGACGTTGTGAAACGGTGAGTTGGCTTGTCATCAAAATTCGTGACGATCATTGAGACGATGCTGATCTTTTTGTTACCTGTCGAGATCCTCATGAGACCATGGCATGATATACAAATACATGTAGGCACCTTGGGACAATCTGATAACATGGATGAGAAGAGAGTCCATGGAGATGTGTAGACGAAGATTACTCACTTATAAAATACCGAGTTCAAACACCCCATTAGTCAAAAACTTTCAATTTTGGAAAGGATAACATCTACATGTCGGTCGCAAGCCACTTTAATTGACCTATCGCGGCAGAATCGCGTTAGAATCGCGTCAACGCAGCTTGTGAAATATTGTCCAATTTATGATATACAAATGGACACGGAACGTGCAAAATCTGAGACAAACAAAACTTAAGTGTACAAAAACTCCATAGGGTTGTCTAAGGGGCGTGGCTAACTCGCAAATGGCGGTAGGTCAATTCCAAGAAGACAAACAGTTTTTTGTGTTTTTTTTTGGTTGCCTTTACATTGTGCAAGGTACTTTGAACCTATTAGAGATAGTGCATTTGAATTTATAGCAGGTTAAGAAGCAAAACTGAGACCAAACTTAAAAAAAAATAATAATAAACTGCATGCAATATTCAAAGCCAACTGAGCTGATTAAATCTACAACACACGTTATTTTAGAATAAGCCATCACTTGAAGTGGATCATTTTTTTTACACTTTAGGTTGTACATATTTAACAAGCACATCTGCTCATTATACTTACAACAGCAATTTTTCATTGAACAGAGAAAAACATTAAATAAGATTAAAAACTACATCATTTTGGCTATGAGCTGTATGTAAATTCCACTGTAAACATTGCATGTGAATAATTATTCTTAAAACATTGTATAACTAGAGGCAAAACATGAAAAAAGAAGCACAAACCATTTTGTATTGCCAACTTTATGCAGGCATTATATTCAACAAGTGCTTCATTTCTTCAACTCCAATGCACTGCATTTGCATTTTTCTCATTAAACTACGTTGTTTTTCAAATGCAAAGGGTTTCCACATGGATTCATTAAAGCTTTATAGGGCCTACACAGGCCAGCGCACTATAATATGCACAACAACAAAAAGCTTTCGATTTATATGCTAGGAGAGAAACGGGAGGAGCGAAGAGCAAGCCGAGCAAGCCGTACAAGCTGTGGCATCAGTCTGCTCGCAAGCCGGCCAGCCTACACAAACAAGACGTCCAAGACAGACAAACTTAATTTCCCAAGAGAGTAACTAAACTACACGCGGTAGCATTTGTCTCAGTTGAAGCGTCCGCTGCAGGAACATGGATGGAAATGGGTCAAATTATCCCAACAACCTGAGAGATGTTTAATTTAATTTTGGAAAGGAGGTTGTTGTATGTTTCACTCGAGGCAATT